GGTATTTCTCTTGTTTTCTTTATTGATCGGAAAATAATGCACTTAATCGTTGAAAGTTCCCTTTACCCTCAGAAGATGCAGCAGAGGGAACTTGTATCAGAGATGCAAATGTAAGGAAATCACCAAAAGGATACCTGCTTTTATAGGTCATTACTGTTTAGGTATTGACTCAAGAAGAGTAAAGCTGTAGTTTTCAGGAAAGAGAAAATAAATCGGCGACTCAGGCTGGTACTTATTAAAACTTTATGAGGTTACATGAAAATTCAATCGAAATCATCTTGTCATCTTGAAGGTACACTAATCGTCACAATACTGCATTACTTCTTAGTTCCTGTCATTCACGATTGTAAGGCACCGGCTGCGTTGCATTTACATCTTCGAAGCCAATGATCACTGTCCTGATGAATGGATGTTGTCATTTTACTTAGTATATTCAGATAGACCCGGGTCCTATAGGATATGGTACTCAAAGTATAAAAACAAGCGCTCTATGCACATTCTTTAATACTGTTTCTGTTTCTCCTTTTCTTTGGTACCTCAGCTAACTAACGTCACATAAATCAGGTCGATAGTACCAAAAAGGAAAAGAAGCAAGAGGTTGTGTAACACCTGGAAACTAGAAACACAGCTTGCTGACGGCGTTCTCTTTGTTGGGAGGAGGTAACGATACTGGCTGTAATGCAGTCCGAGAAATGAGAAAGCAAGAACTCGGGAAGGAATAGAAACAAAAATACCAATAATTACACTAAATATTTAAACCAGTGATAATGATGGATTGATGTAAAGAGACTCATCTGCGGCTCTTGTCCCAAGATCCCCCAAATCTCTTAGGAATTACAGGAAAAAGTGCCAAATTTCAAAATAAAATTGCCGTTTGAAAAGAGCATGTATCCTGCATTGCAGATCATTTCTTGCAAACCATATAGGTGTAGCTCAGGCTTGTTCAAAAGGTTTTTGAATTGTCTAAACACGAGTATGTTTAGAATCCAGAAATACTTAATAACAAACTGTTTTCAAGTGAATAACAAAGTCTGGCTACCTGTTCTTTAACATCATAAATCAGTGGGTGAACTTGGCAATTCCACGTTTCAAAACATGTGTTTTTGTTTTGTTTTGTGTTTTATAAAACTGCCCGTGTCATGTGCTGGTGAGGATGTGCAGGAACTAGAACTCTTCTGTTTTTTTTTTTCTTTTAAGATTCTATTTTTTAAGTAATTTCTGCACCCAAAGTGGGGCTTGACCTCACAACCCTGAGATCAAGAATCATGGGTTTCACTGACTAAGATAGCCAGATGCCCGTGCTGACGTCTGTTTTAAATCTGCCCTGCTAATGAAGATTGTTTCCTCTTGTTTTTTGCACTATCTTTGCTATTTCTCCCGGGAAAGAGCTTTGAAAACTCATTTTACTTAAATCGCAATAATAACAGGTCAAGGGTGAAAGTCATCTTTGCCAAGGCTTTCAGCACCCACCTTGTATTTGACACTAATGGCTGAAACTTAAAATTGAGAACAGGGTTGATTTAATTTGGGGGATTCCGACTAAGTGAAAAAAGCTACCAACTGGTGAACTTCAGTGCAATTACACTCAGTTTGTGAAAATGCAGAGGATGCGTCACGGGACCGTGTACTGTGCTGTGGAAACACACACACACCCGTTCATAGTTTTCGGCAGAGGAGAAGGTGCATAATAAATACAGACGAATCATCCATTCTATGAAATAGAGGCCTCTGGTTTATAGCAATAGAGACTATAATTTGTTTAATTCTTACTATCAGCGAAGAAAATAATGAGAGAGTAAAAGGAAGTTCTGTAAAAAGCAAAGTATCTGTCAGTATTCTTCTCCATTAAGAAATATTCAACACTTTATATGAGATTATATGAGGATAGTTCATGAGCAACAGTAATGTCGACGTGAGAGGCAGATATTTGAGCAAATCTGTAAAACATGGAAGGGAAAAAGCGCGTGCCTTTTACGAGGAAGGCTGACGTTGGAAGCCCTTCCTGGTGTGCAGCATAAGGAGCTTGGTTTAACGAAGAAAGGAACTGCCAAATCCTCCAAAACCCTCCCAATGCCCTACCTTTCATCTTGTTCCCTGTCCCATCTGGCCCCAGTGGCAGAGCTCAGGACCCAGAGCCCAGGGGCTTGGGGAGGACGACCAGGACCAGAAAGGGGTTGGTGGTGGGGTCACTGGGTGGGGAGTGGATTGAGGGTAATCATCAATGAGAGGACGACACGTTTCTCTCTCGCTTTCTCTCTGCTTCTACCTGCGTCAGAAAGAAGTCAGTTGGGCATTTTCCTTTAACGTGCACCTGTTCTGGAGAGGATAAAGCCAATTCTATAAGATTAAAAAAAAAAAAAAAAAAAAGGAACGACAAGAAAAGAAAAGGAGCCAACAAGATGAGGTCACTGTATAATTTGTTGTCTGAACTGGGACACATTTGTGAGTCTGAAGGGTTATTGTTAATATTGATAAACAGGGCTGTCCCGGCAAACAGAACATACTGTCATCCCAGAGGGACATAGTTAACCCCGAGTGGGGTTGATGTTCTTCAGTCTCCAAGAAGTCTCTGAAGGCAGCTTATTTTCTTTAAAGTGCCGTTTCTTGGCACCTCCCCTTCCCTTAGACAAAGTAAGGAGAATGCAAGGAATATTCTTCTTGATTTCTCTCCCCAAATGGGAGAACAGTGGGAGGAAGGAGGTGTAGAAGGGTTCTAGATCTCATTCCAGGCATGTTCGAATGAATGGGGGCTTCTGGTTTCCAGGCAAATGAGTGAATTATTTTTCACTTCCAGATTGTTTACCAGTTTCTTTTCACTATTAGCTGAAGTATAAGGCTTTCTTTTTCTCTTTTCTACAAAACTGAGGTGACCTGGGAATGCCTAAAGTTCACATTCTCCCATCAGTGAGTGTATGTGTTCAAGATATGCACTGTTCTCCCTATTAAACTCACACATTCTACTTCCTGTAGAAATACTGTAAGAAAAACCTGGCTTGTAAAATGGACATTCTCTGTAGAATTTTCTGTAGAATTCACGGGGCGCCTGGGTGGCGCAGTCGGTTAAGCGTCCGACTTCAGCCAGGTCACGATCTCACGGTCCGTGAGTTCGAGCCCTGCGTCAGGCTCTGGGCTGATGGCTCGGAGCCTGGAGCCTGTTTCCGATTCTGTGTCTCCCTCTCTCTCTGCCCCTCCCCCGTTCATGCTCTGTCTCTACTGTTCCAAAAATAAATAAAAAACGTTGAAAAAAAAAAAAGAATTCGATAGAATATTCTGTATGAATTTTCTGTTGAGAAAAGTTTTTGTATGTTCTACTCCATAAGCAAAGCGATCTGGCATGGAGGTCAGAAAGTCTCATTTCTCTGATGGTTTTACTCATTAGAGCAGGACATGCTTGGCTTTGTCCTAACATTGGCAAAGACAAACATCGATCCTGGTGGATACATGACATTTTCTATAACTATGTTCTTATAAAGCTTGAAGCATTTTCAAGACGTCACTAGAATGAAGTAGAATTTCAACATCATATTTGGTGATCAGTTCAACAAAAAGCAGTAGGTAACTATTCCATGTCAGGTAGGAATATTGGGTCCCTAGTTTCTCTGTCTTCCAAGAAGTCCATTGAAATTCTCAAATTTTGCCGTTAATGTTTTCTTGTAAAAGTATTTACCACAAAGTTTACTGTAAGTGTCATACTTGAAGCTCGGTTTTGTCTTGGACAGAGGTATTTATATATAGGTAAAAATGTGTCCCCAAGATGTAAAAGATATAAGTTGTTTCGTCTCCTGGGTATTTCTGTACGAATGAAGTCAAGGAGGCGATGAATGACCATGGCCTTGTGTGAACCCTGGGGCACACTGCTCACTGTTAGTTGTAAGTTATTTGGGGGAAATCTTGGCTGGTCCTGGAGCTACGCAACATTACTATATTTTATCAAACTTTGTAGCGTTGGATACAAAAACAATTTACTCCAAATACTGTCTTTACTGACTCTTCTTCTTGAAAAGCCACCCTGGAGAATCTCCCTGTCCCCATGGATTCAAACTGTGACCCAGTTGTCCAAGGCAGAACTAGAAAACAGTCATTTAAAACATATTGTGAAAATGGACATAAATCAAAAATTACGTTGAGGCAATATTTAGGAAAAGCTAATCAAGGTGAATGGGAGGTTGTGTTTACAAAAACTTTTAAGTAAAACTAAACCTAATTTCCTGCATAATGATTACATAGCCATGATAGCTATTAAATTACATAGCTATTAATACATAGCTATAATTTGATCTCCATTCACCATTAAAAAGTCCAGGACCTGTGGTTTGTTAGATATTTTTTGAAGTCAATGTTTTTTTTTAACATGAGGTAGCTTTCTAGCAGCATTTTGGGTGCTTTTACGCCAACACAGTGTGGTCTGGCATGATACCAGGTTTGGGCACAGGTGGGAGGCAAGAACTGGCTATGTAGGAAAACTGTATCTTGCTACAGGTAAAGATGGTCTTCTAGTTACAGTAATGGGGTAGGAGAGAAATATAGCAATTGGAGAATAAGCAGCACTCTTACGGGTAAGAGAATAGATATCTAATCTCACTACTGTACCAGTTCTCGTGAGTAACGGTGGTTAATTTTAATTTTCACTAAGCTATCAAGTACCAAAATTTAGAAACTCAATTCTAATTTCCTAGATGCTCCTAAACGATTGGTTCGGTACTCTGTTATCATTTGGTTGGTTTACTCATATTAGTTTCTTCTGTGAAGAGTCTTTTGTAGGAAATAAGAAAGCAAGAAGTAACAAAAAATAGATTTGATGCACAAGGTACAATAGGCATTAAACAGGTGCTAATTTCTGACGTCCAAACACATCAACATCATGTGAAGCAAACCTGTGGTCTCACACTTGATTTTTAAACATCTCATTTTTTTAAAATTCCAAACTCATTATAGCTGGAGCTGTTCTACACGACTCAATTTGGGCAAAGTCAATACATATGGCACTACAGACACATTGATACTTTCTATGAATAGGTTCTAATGGAATTCAAAGTATTCTCTCGATTTTACTAGAATGAAGTAAAATTTCAGCAAAAAGTAAAACCATAGTTACTCGCTTGAATACAATCCATCCTTACGAGGTAAATGTACGAATACCTGTGTTTCCTTGGTGTTCAAGTGGCAATTCTCGATACTTTGCTATTTTTGTATGTTTAGGCTTCTCTTCTTAGCCGTTAAAAAACTCATTATGATTTCACCCAGAATAATGATTTTTCTCATAAAAATATTCCTGTGGTTAACTAACTGTTCATTTTGATTAAATTTAAAACTCCTCTGGATGAAACCTTCTATTTTGCATTGACGAGACATGTAGAAGGAATCTTTTCTATTTCCAGAGATTTTAAAGAACATTCAAACTTTTGCTCTTGGAGTTTGGAATGCTTTTTTGGACTCAGTGGGAATTTGCCTGCCTCAATGTAATTACTCTTTTTGAGTATAAAAGCAGGTCTGTCCGGGAATGTAGATTTGGACCTCAAAATTGCTTATGGAGGAATTTTTCGCTTCCTCGTTTTTAAAACTAGTTTGGTCCAAAAGTTAGTTTGAAGCCAGTATGAATTATATTCAAATTTGTACTTTTTATGAGATGAATATGTGTAAAAATATGATTTGGCTATTTAGAGAAATTTTTTTGCATTTTTCTCTTTAATGAAAAAGAAATAAAAAAGGAAGACATTAAGGGTTGAAGACAGGGTTGAAATGGAAAGATTATGGCCATTCCCAAAGTTAGTTGCACATTGAAATCACCTGAGATTTTTAAAAAGTACCGAGAATATCACCCCGTGGTATTCTAATGTAATCCATATGAGGCGCCATCTTGGTAAAGGCATTCTGAAAAGCCTTCCGGGTGTTTCTGATGTGCAGTTAAGTTTGGGAGCCACTATCCTAGGGAATATGAGGAGCAAAATGTAAAGTTGAAAGCACCGGGTCTTTCAGAGGGAGCTTAGCCTTGAGGCCTTTGATACCTGATTAGAATTAACAGAACTGAAAGGTTACAAGGACTTTTAACTCTTATTGGAATTTAGCTGATTTTGATTGGAATCTGGGCTGATTTTGGATCCCAGGATCCCATTCAAGAGTTGACCAATGGTTCTATGTTTTCGTGTGTATGTTTTCCTTTGAGTCCTGTAGAATTTTTACCAGGGCCAAAGGATTTTTTTAAATGGAAATTCTGGTACTGTAGGTCTTAAACCACTAATGAGACTGAAACAGTAGTGATAGGTGTTTGGAGTTCAAACCTGGGTTATTTCTATTTTGATACAGACGCAGTCATTTACATGTATGGCAAGAAAGTAGAGCTTTCTGCTCCCTCCACCCTGGTTTTTTGTAGCACCCGTATCCCTAGAAGATGTTCCTGGAGAGAGGCCTGAAGCCCTCGAGGATTTTGGTAAACAGCACCCTGGCTGGGTGTCTAAGAATCAGCTTCTGATCAATCGGCAGTGGTGGGTGTAAGGTTTCTGTGCTGAGTTCAAGACCAAAGGGCTCAGACACGGTAAAGCTGTCCGATACTTGTTGAAAACAGAAGGGAGGAAAGGTAGAGGATTTCTGGGCAGATTTCATGCGAGTGGGTGAGACAGTCCAAGGCTGACCCCACGTCAATATAACAGTCTCTGAATGCCGGACGGTGGACTGGATGCTGCAAAAAGTCCAAAGAAATGAGAGTGGATCTTCACTCCTCTGTTTGAAAAGACTTCACAGCCCCTTTGCTGAGTAGGAAAAAGCATCACAAGTGATGATCGGTAGATCTGATGCGCCTTTTTATGGTATTAGGCATGAACCACGTGAGACAGATATGAAAACAAATCAATGTGAACAAGCGAAAAGTTTACAAGAAGAAGTCCTTTTACGCCGGGGTGATTACTGTGTTGGGGGACCATTGGCAAGGATGGGGGTTCCAGGGAAGGAGAGGTGCGGGCCGATGAGTTTAGTAAACAGTGGGCCCGGGTTCATTTTATCGTTACCTGCAGCACATCACGCTGACTTCCAGGAGGTCCCCAGGGGCCACGAAGATGCTGACCTAGGACAGACTGACCCGGGGCATTTTTTGGACAGAAGTGATGCTGACCCCATCAGACCTTGGGCAGTCTTTCACGGACCCCAGCCTGAGGACATACCCCACGCCGCGGGCAATGCGAACGCCTTTCAAAGAGCGTCCTCCCCCCGCCCCCACCCTGCCTGTTTGTGACTCTGTGTCACAGAAGCAGCTGTGAGCCCAGGTTAAGACTCTGGAATTCACATGGCTCTCTTTGTTGTTTCTGGCCCAGGTCTGCTGACCCCTGAACGCTTGCTGGTTAATAGGTCTCTCTTTACACTGTCAGGGTTCAGAAACCCGTCACCAGGTCCCTCAGGAGCCTGGGAGAAACGACTGTTGGGGCAATGGTTCTTTAGCTTTCTGTTAGACAAAGGCCCGCTTGACATTTGATTTCACTGGGAATATAGCCTCCTGTCATGATTCTACAATTAGTATACACTAACCAGTCTCGGGCAAGGCATCGCTTTAGGAAAAGTATTACTTGTGATCGTAAGGAAACTGAGTGAGAGGTTTATTTCTTCCAGATAGAGTTGTGTGTGTCTGATTCTTAAGTTAAAAGAAAGATATCTTCAGAAGGCTCCATATCCATCCCCTCGGGCAGTCACTGCAAAAGTGGGGTAGACCTCATACGTCGTATATGCTGCTAAGTCTTGTCCAAGGGTCACCGCTTGCTTGAGCTGGGCCGCGGACACAGGTGCACTTGCGTTAGGGACAGCGTATCCTGGAGAAGGAGGCAGAGAGAGCTTCAGCGAAGGCATCCGGGTGTCCTCCCTTTTGGTCAACTGTCTTCTTTTTGGGATATGAAAGTCTGACGTCACTTAAAGCCAAAAGTTTAATACGCCCCTCTAAAAAAGTGAACTCCTGGGGCACCCGGGTGGCTCAGTCGGTTACGCGTCCGACTTGGGCTCGGGTCTTGACCTCGCGGTGTGTGAGCTCAAGTCCCGCGCCAGGCTGTCTGCTGTCAGCCCAGAGCCTGGATCCTCTGTCCAGGATCCTGGACAAGGGGGATCCTCTGTCCCCCTTCCCTCTGCCCCTCCCCCACTCTCTCTCTCTCTCTCTCTCTCACAAATCCACATTAAAAAAAATTAAAAAGGGAACTCAGGAGACATAATATCTAGACTCAGTGACTTAGGGGACAGTGTTCCTCGAAGTGAGGTCAACCGTGTGTGCCCGATCCACTTCATGCTTGCAGAATCGGAAACACCAGAGTCGAGTCCGAGAAACAGAAACTTAACAGGATGCTGAGTTAATTACACTTGAGACTTGGGTCTTTATCAGAGGGGCGCAGAATTTACAAAGGAGGAGAGGTGATTGAGAGGTTGGCAGGCTGGAGGAGTGGGGGCTCTGTGGGTCTGATTTTGTGCCCCCACCCCCATCTAAGTGAAATGTTAAAAACTCATTGCTTTTGCCCAAGAAGGACGTATAGGGAGTAGGTAGACCGGTAGAAAAAATACTGAGCGTTTTCGTGTATTTCTACGTAGCACCGTAAAAGCAAATACATGGACTGTTTACATTTAGACCCGACCGTGAAGGGCAAAGATCATCTTGCCTCACCAGCAAGCTGTCTAGAGGCCACGATGCTTGTCCTCACCCTCAGACAACTAAGGGGTTTGAGTGGTGAGGAGGCCATCACGGGCAGTCACATTAATATCACGTCTGGCTGATTGACATCCACGTTCAGAGAAAAGGGCCTAACAGCTATTACCTAAAAGCAATGTTTCCCTGTTAACGTTTTAGATCAAAATTAAACCGTATCTGAGACGACCCAAAAAGTGTGCAGGTGACAAGAAAAAGGGAAAAATATACTTAAGCAACAAACGGGGACCTGAAAAAAAAGAAAAAGAAAAGAAAAAGAAAAAGCCCATTTGGTTTATGTGCCGTGGCCGTCATCCCAACCCCAGACACATTGATTTCTTTCTGGTGGCTTCTCAGGAAGTGGTGGCAGGAAACTGGCTGGACTGTTTTTTTAAAAATTATATCCACTCCTTGGCTTGAACACTTTGGCCAGTAATGCTGACTAAGGCACGACTGAGGTTCGGTCTGTTTTCCAACGAGATGAGAAATGTGTTACCGATTACTTCCCTGACTTTGGAAATAGTATTTCTAAATAAGTGAGTAAGAAATACACATGTGTGAAGAGAGCGTGTGCATGTGTGCGTGCATGTGTGTGGTGTAGATTCTCTTTTAGGGATTTTGAATTGTCTTCTTCAACTTGGCTAATTTCCCAAGTGCAAGAGTATTTGGAATTTAAACAGATTCTTCCCTTGTGACCCATTATTCTTTGCTTGACTCCACAGCAAAGTTATAAGAGAGGCTCTCAGATTCTCAGGCGTCCCCAAGACAACTCTCATGCCCTAAATATTTTTTACTTCTTGTGGGAGCAAACAGAAGTGAGGACAAGAGCAAACGTTCTTAGGTAAAAGCAAATCTTTTGCCATGTGCAACTAGAAAATTCTGACAGTGGCTCATTTGTTTTTACAGTACATTATTTAAGTGGCTTTGGGGTGCAGCTGTCCACAAGACAGGGGCTGAACCTTCTCCCAGAACCGAGAAGCCATGGCACAGGACCCCCAGGAGACTGACATGTCAACACCCTGTTGTGTGGGAAGCGAGCACGGGCCTGATGGCCCCGGCGCAGCCCCAGGGACCTGCCCTGGGCATTGGCAGCTGTGGTCTTGGCAACCTCGTGGGGGCACGCCACACGTCTTCTCCACGTTCTACAGAACAAAGCTGGCATTGAGGTCACATTCACCGGTTGCAACCTTGCTTGCCAGAATGCAAAACACATTCGCAACTTTTGAGAAACAAAAGAAAATCAGAATGGGCCCAGGTGTTATGTTCGTGAGCAACAGACAGTTCTCATGCCTGTACGTGCCCAATATACGAATGAATGCGTGGGTTGACAGAAATGCCCTATTTCTGGGTCCAGTCAGATCTCTTAATTTGTTTTAAGGGAGGTATGCCAATGCAGTGACTCATGACCAATTTCTTCAAAAGAAATGAACTTTTATTTGCTAAAACTGAACGGAGTTACTCAACCTAACTGTTAAGGAAAAATTTCCAGAACAAATTTGTCGTCTGGTGTCTTTGAATCTCTAGAGGGTTCACTTTTTAATTGTTAGCATTGGTTGTAGGTACATAACGAATGGGGAAAAGTCTTTTAAATGTGACCCTGGAGGCGTGTCGATGTACAGACAGGCTTTATTCTGAGCAAACAGTGCGCTCCAGACCAAAATTACGGAGCAGATAAAATGAGGGCTGATTATCCACATATTGAAAGGATCTCGATCTGTCTCTGACTCTCTCTTGCACACAGAGTTTTTGACTTAAAATAACTTAAGAAATGCGTGGTCTACACGATTCTTCCAGAAAGCAAAGCAATGAAAGTCAAGTTGAGTTGAAGATGAGAAAAGTGCAGATACTCCAAGGGCTCCTTAAAAGCCAGTTGACCTTGGCCAAATTACTTCATCATCCCTGTCCTTGGTTCCTTCAGCTCACAATGGGCATTATGCCACAACCTACCTCTTGCGGGGGCCTGAGCGTCACTGATATAACATAAAGCATGTGGAGCATTTAGGCGAGCACTTGGCGTGCCCTGAGCGTTCGAGTGAACATCAACTCTTAATAGGCAGTTCCGACCTCTCTCACTAAAAGTGAAAACCCAAGCCGACCAGATGCAGAGGCTGGCTCTTTCGAGATCACGCTGCTACTCAAGCTGAGCCGAGCCTCGCTCCCGCTCCTCCCCCCCTCCCCCCTCACTCCTCTCTGTCCTACCTGGATGGTTCACTCACCTGGAGAGTGTCTTTGGTCACAGATGGTGTAAGTCAGATTTCTTGTGGGTGGGGGTCATAAAGAGCTCTAAGGGTCCATGGCCCCAAGGGAGGGTTTCCCAAACACGCTGGGTGGGCTGCCGTGTCCGGCACAATTTTCCGTACCTGGGAAAGCAGCGGTGGCTGCGGGGGCGGTGGGGGCCTCGGCCCCGTCGGTGGGGATGCCCAGGGTGTGGAGGGTGTGCTCTGCCGCGTAGGTCTTGGCTTCGTCCACGTAGGCACTTAGCTTCGGAGGCGTGAAGGGGTGGCTGCAAGACATATCCAGTCGGGGTAGGCATTTAAATTTGGGGCGCTGAGGGCTGAGATGGGAGCAAAGCTCTGTCGCTGTTAGTGTTTGCAGATGAGTGGGTAGTGGGGTTTTGTGTGCGTGGTTTTCATTCTCCTTGCATTTAAGACTTTACGTGTGTGTGTGTGTGTGTGTGTGTGTGCAGGGAGATTTGTGACCTGACCCAGGACCTCAGCGGTGGATACGACATTCCTGGGGCACACGCCTAACACACCGCATGGCTGTTCTACTGCGCATGTGAACCAGGAAAGTTCCTAAAACGTGCAGAGACGCGGGCTTGAGGCGGGGATACCCACTCCCAGAGAGGATCTTTAATCCAAAATTTAGGTGACCGCGCACGGTGTCATGATGTACAACGTGGCGATTTCCCATGGTTCAGCCTGAACGCTGCACAGGTAAAAGACGGGCGACAGTTTTCATTTCCGTTACATTTTACATCTGCAGTTTCTCATTGGTGGATGATGCTATGCAGTCTTCATCGTCTGTTTGAAACGTGGGGCCTTTGAGAGGCTGGCACCTCTATCCCCCTATACGACTGGACGTTTGCATTTAATGAAAATTGAGTAGGCAGTAGACTGAAATATTTAGCTTATATAGATAGTGACAACGTAGGGGCACCTGAGTTGCCTAGTGGGTTCAGTGTCCAAATCTTGACGTCGGCTCAGGTCGTGATCTCACAGTTCGTGGGATCAAGCCCCGTGTCAGGCTCTGTGCTGACCACATGGAGCCTGCTTGGGATTCTCTCTCTCTCTCTCTCTCTCTCTCTCTCGCTCTCTTTCTGCCCCTCTCCTGCTCACGCACACCTTCTGTCTCTCTCAAAATAAATAAACATTTTCAAAAAAAGATAGTGACAAAATACACTCAATTTACTGGAGACTCTTACTCTAAAAATCTTAGAAAATTAGGAATTTGGAGATGTTACGCACATGGCAGGATTCTGGCTGGCCAGGGCAGGAATGGTTATTTTGTATAAGAATAGTTGCCGTTGATCTTGTCCAATGGCCGAGTGCAGCTGATATACCGGTTGTCCCCAGTTATTTTTCTGACAAATTTCTTCTAATATCTATGAGAGTTAAAACAAAAAAAAAGTGATTTTCCTTCCAATTGTCGTATTTGCACTATTTCATCAGCTTTCAGGGTTTTAAACTCTAATCTTCAGTGTTGAAGCTAATGTAAGAAAATATAAAATGCCACATGGTTTAATGACTCATACAATTTTAAGACGAACTCAACTTGAACTCCATTTAAAATGTTACATCTATTAATTCACAAAAATCGTTTCACGCCATTTATTCTAATATGCTTTTAGTTCAGTCCATTAGACGTAACTTTTTCTTCTTCTTTTTTTTTTTTTACCCATAGCTTAATTCTATGATTTGTTGGATGTATTTATTCCATTAAAGAAAAACTGACATTTCAGCACTGTGTGGCTGGATTTCCTCATTACCCTCAATCCTTCTGTCTACAGCGGTTTAGAGAAAATAACCTAAGAATATATTCCTACTTCATGTCGTTTGTCATAGGGTTTTAACTTTACATTTTCGTAAAAATCAAGGTAAAAAGTTTAATGGGTTACTAGTTACTGGGATTACAACTGCTGACTGTACGGGACAGTCCTTGTCTCTCTGCTCCTGGTGGGCGTTCGTGACTCCACCGTGGAACTGTTAAGGTTCCAACTCTGTTGGTTTGGGTTGGCACAGCCTTCAGTGTCTAAGCTGTAGTTGTAGAGATTCAGAGACAAATTAAAGAACTTTCGTTAGTTGCTAGAGATGGTTCCTCACATATTACTATAAACCACGACCAACTTCTGATCTGGGTTGAATACAAGAAGGAGAGATTGTCCCTTACGCTATGACAGCTCATAGAACTATGACATGGAATTTATAACAATTACTATTTTTTATTTTCTTAAAAGCTTTCCAAGTATCTTAGTTCTTTAATAAGGTGCCTTGTTTTAAATTTTAACCCAAGATAGATTGGATGACAAGCTTTAGTGTTTTCTGAGCAAGGCTTCATCATGATTTTATTACAATTAATTTTATTACAATTAATTGGCTTATGTGTCAGCTGTCTCTTACTGGATTGCCATATGAGTTTTGATGGCAAAGACCGTATTGTATTCTCTTTTCCATCCCCAGCACCTAACGCAATACGTGGTGCGTGATACATGGCCAATAAATGGCTTTTGAATAAACAAATGGTTGCTGCTTACCACTCTGATAGGCATCTTTATTTTTAATGGCCTGGGTCAGGATAGCAGCAACCTTAGATGAGCTAATGTGGATGTGTAAGACAACCATCAATCCGGCAAAAATAGTACTCAGGATGAGCTGTGAGAAAACCAAGTTTTCCATTTGCTTGCAATCATAAGGCCTACTTCCATTAACTTGGGGGCTTATACCTTTGGGCCTGGAGTAGGAATGTTTCCTTTAGGGTCCACAGACTGTACCTCTGAACAACCGGTTACTGGTTCCTTAGCCAGTGTCTCTACAGGGAGACCATCAGAGGTACTGCACACCCACGGGCTAAGGGTTAACACATCCTGTTTTGTTTTATTTTTACCCCTGTTAATCCATTTTCCATACTGGAACAGCTTTTATAACTTTTAATTTTCCAATAATAAAAACCACAGCCTCAAGCAGAAACATGGAGCTGTGGAATGAGAGCATTAAAAATTCCCCATAATCACTGCCCAACTATAATTATTGTAGCAGACTTAATTGGATAGGAGTGATGGCATCTCATAGTTAATATGGGTAATGATATCACCATCGGCAGCATGGTTTTTATCTCTTAAACATAGTGTTTCTGGGGCGTCTGGGTGGCTCAGTAGGTTAAGTGTCCAACTTTGGCTCAGGTCACGATCTCACGGTTTGTGGGTTCAAACCTGCATCGGGCTCTGTGCTGATAGCTCAGAGCTTGGAGCCTGCTTTGGATTCTGTGTCTCCTTCTCTCCCTGCCCCTCTCCCACTCACCTCTGTCTCTCTCTCTCTCTCTCTCTCTCTCTCATTCTCTCTCTGTCTCAAAAATAAATAAACATTAAAGAACCCCACAGTGTTTCCAATAAAGGATGTCCTTTATTGGCACATAAGAGTGGTCTATTCATTCCGTGTCACAAATACTTTCCATTAGCCTACTCCCACACAGTAGGCATTTATTTTGAGTCAGGGTCTTTGCTGCACTTTATTTGCATTTAAGGTATTGGTTAATAATTCTTAGTAGGATCTTCGTTTTCCAGTTGTTCAGATTATTTAGGGTGTCAAACTTCATTTTTAAGAAGAAGAGTGAAATGGGACAGTGACACTCAATGGCGGGGCATTCTCTCATTGTGTTGATTGGCCACTTTATCTATGTAAACAAAACAAAACGAGCAGTGGCCCAAGTAGGGATCAAGTCAAATCATTTGACAAAAGGTGTACGAAGGTCTTTGGCCTAACTTAAGGAAACTATCTCCGGAATAACATTACCTACCTGGGGAGCAAGTTTAATTCCCTGGGGTTTTAAAGTGACAGGATTCATTGGGGTGAGCTCCATCCCAGGTAAAAGGTCGTAGAGTTTGTCTTCTGTCTTGTCTCCCTTGACCTGGTATCCACGACCCAGGCCTGTGTAGGTCAAATAGCCACGGCCACCTAGTCTTCTTACTCCCGCAGCCCCTACAGGTACATTCATGTAAATTTCTAGGAATGTAAGAAGGCATTAAACTGAATCAAACCACCAGAAAATCACCCTGAATCTTACTGAAATGGAAAAGTTAGCCCAAGTCCCATTGATTACCGCCCTGACGATGCACAGAAAACTCTAGGATTCTGATGTAATGAAACTCAACAAAAGGTAGGAGTCGCCACAGGTGTGTTTTTGTGTTTTCTTTTTGACTGGGGAAGAAAGCAATCCTATCAAAGCTATCATCACTAAGTACAAGAGCAACTTTAAAACTTTGGTACAGAGAAAAATTTTGCAACTTCTGTCTGCAGTTAACCTTTTGTTGATATTTTTCTATAGGCTAATAAATGTTGGGAAGGCATTTATTTCAAGATCCCAGCGTGTTATGACCACATGTATTAAAATAAGAGTTGCATTTTTATCTTCAATCAGGAAATCAGAAATGAATTCTAGCTTCCCCAATAGTTCCGTCCCCAGTGATCAGTCGGGAAATGGAACATTGAGAAAACGGTTTTTAAGTTCACTATTTTCTGTTTCATGGCCTGTCAATGTGAGGCTTAAATTCCCATTGAGTTTCATTAATAGATTCCTTTTGATTTTTTGTTTTGCTGTGTTGCCACTTTGATTTCCTACTGATGGCATAAAGTTGATAAAAAAATTAAATTGATTACCCTTCATCCATGAATCTCATTCATTGATTTCCTTTCTTGTTATAAGGTATTTTTTTTCCCTTGGAGTGGAGTTTGTTTTTTTCCTACATTACAACTGGTTGCCAATTTATATTTAACGTATGCATTATTTAATAATATGATTTCAGATTACAAATGTATAATATTTTAATGACATAATTTGTCACCACATAGATTATACCGGAGGAAAACCTGATGATTTCTTTAGCATTATAATCTTGGATAGAGTGATTTTATGATGATTATGGAAATTTTAAGGCTGTTGAAGACTAGAGATCTTAGGATGGCCAACTCAGTTTTCCTGAAAAATAGTAAAAAACAGTAAGAGGATAGTTTCCACAGTAATCTGACATGCCCCTTTACTTCTAACTAAAACCCAAGGATGGGATTTAAATACACAGTTTGTTGTCAAGTTGCCCAGAATGGTTTTATATTTGGAAGACAGAACTGGGATTCTTTTGGCATTAACTACATCCTAACAGGACCATTCTGATGGATCCCATTAGGCAGAGACAAACTAGTTTACTAGAAATTAAAAAAAAAAATGCTTTCCTTTTCATCTATCTTGCTTGAACTGAGCCCAGAACACTGCTTGAACATTTGGAACTCTTATAGGATTACATAGGAAAGATTTATCATTTAGTAGTCAGTCTTTTTTCTATTTGGACCTTACTATTTAGCTCCCCATATCCTGGAGAAATAAGTTGATTTCCTCACTAGTGTGGCTTTTTAGAAGGCATAGTGCATAATCCTGGGAGGAGGTCAAATGAAAGCATGGCATGTGTCTCTTAGAACATGTTTATGATAATTTGATTTATATACGAATAGGCCCCTGAGTCGCCCTCAAAGGCACATGTGCCTTGACGTGTTTTTGCTATTTGACATAACTGGTTTTCATTGGCCCATCCTTGCTTTCATTTGTAAGTTTTCTAATGAGTCACAAATGACTGCAATATGGTGGTGGTCCAATGATAAGGGAGAAGCTAACTATTTAGTCTGTACAAACTTTATGCACCCATGCGAAGACCAAATGTATGCATTAGACTCCTTTGTGCTATGTCCTGACCAAGTTTTTCCAATAACCAGTTGTAATGTGAAAAAAGATTTTTATGAAAGGACAACTATTGATATAATAATATTTGATTTTTCATGAACAATTTTCCAGTCCTTTTCTCCCGGTGGACCCATCCAATTTGTCTAAGGCTATTGCAATACAAATCATTTGAAATTGTAGAGTTATTCCAGGGCAAGAGCTGATGAGCATTACCTCTAACAGAAGGGGCTCGGATAATGGCCCTGTTGCCAAGATGTCCTTTAGTGGCTGGGAAATGAAGGCTGGGAATTGCTGTATAGGCCTGAGGGGCATAGAAGACAGGAGCTCCAAGGTAGGTTGTGGCGGGATCGTAAACATGGCCCAAAGAGTAGGTGTAATCTCCTTGCAGCATGGCGCCCCTTCCGCCCGTGCCTCGGGTGTACCTAACGTAACTGTCCTTGTCCACTGGTTTGGCTAGGGTCACTTCAATGGGGGAACCATCTAGCACCTGTTGTAGAGAGCAAAGAAGAAACAACATCAGAAGATATAAAGGCAACCCAGTGCGGCTGAGCCCTAGTCTCCTGAGCGTTAGTCAATTTGCTGCTCTGTTCGCTGTTTCGCTTACACATATCTTGTCTCTTTATCGGTTCACGTTTGTGGGTCAGTTGAGTTTTCCTGAGTTGGTACGTTGCACATAATACGCACCAGGTTTCACAGTGACAAACTGATCACTGTCTGCTGACATATGGGTTATAAATTATGCGAATACAGTCATTGCAACAGAGAGTTATGTGATAGTTTTATGAGATACATATGTTTTAAATTACATGTTATGCAATTCTAAGAAATTTTAGGTTAATAATGGGTGGAACGTAATCTTTACTACTTAGCACAGCACAAAGAAGGTGAAAGGAAACCAATAAGGAAATCTTATTGGTTGTTAGCACGTTGGCACGGGTAGCCTAGTCAGGTCGTTCCAGCTGCCAGCCAGTTAAATAGCTTACTTCTTCTTTTTTTAACGTTTTGTTTATTTTTGAGAGAGAGAGAGAGACAGTGAGAGCCTGACCGGGGGAGGGGCAGAGAAAGGAGGACAGAGGATCCAAAGCGGGCTCTGCACTGACACGCTGATCATAGTGAGCCTGACGTGGGGCTTGAACTCACGAAACGTGAGATCATGACCTGAGCCGAAGTTGGATGCTCAAATGACTGAGCCACCCAGGTGCCCCTAAATGGCTTACTTCGTAGAGCGGCTACACAACAGGTAAGTTTTTACTAGAAAAGAAAAGAGACTTAAAAATGGGGCCTTACTCAGGGAAGAGGGATCAAGGAGGCCACTGTACTTTCCCCCCAGGTACCCGTGAAGCAACCTTTTGATCTGTTGCACAGCTGGGAACTGGCAGAGAAGCCAGGGGAAGCACCGTGATTTCTCAAGTCATGCACTTCTTAAAATGTGTCCTCAAGAATTATTGGGGTGGTGTTTGCTTCTGCCCCAAGTTTCTAACATTTTGCAAACAGATCCCGACGTGGAAGATAATGGATGTGTGTAGATCTATGTGTGCCACTCACTTTTCTCTCTTGCTTGCCAACACGAGACAAAGATGGCTCTCAACAAATGCTTGACGGATTGACGTATTTCTTATCAATGGGACAAGGTGTTGCGTGGAAGCATTTGTAGCTTCCTCTGAATAAGAATGTTGTGAGCCTCTATTTTTTATAAAGAAAAGGAATGATACGAAGTGTTCATGCAAGGATTCTCTGTCATAGCAGCTCGCCATTTGGTGAGAGCCTCAGTCCATTCTGGGGTCATTGAGGTTGGCCGGACAAAGTTGTGCTTCTTGGTTGTTGTGACCATTTTGGTCAGCCTTGGGGCAACTTGTTCTTAGTTTCCTATATCTGCCCTACTTTTTAGCAGCAAGAGCCAGTCTTGAATATGTTAGTTGGAATATACTGAGAGAGAATCCTGATGATATTCACCTATCTTTACAATGGTGTTGATATAATTAGAAGCAACAGATCAGAGTATCAAAGGAAGGGGGTGGTCTTGGTAATAAGATTCTTTATCTTCAGTCCTGTCTTGAGGAAGGTGAGAGAGACCCAAATAGGTCTCTGCTTATAGACCTTCCTATCAAGAGATATTTTTAATGGAATGATTCTTTACTGCAAAGTCAGGTTCCATATTGTAATAGAATTTGTGCTTCATTGTCCCCGTAGGTGTGGTTTAAAAAATTTTTTTTAACATTTATTTATTTTTGAGAGAGAAAGAGAGAGAGCATGGGTGGGGGAGGGGAACAGAGAGAGGAGGACAGATTATCTGAAGCAGGCTCCAGGCTCTGAGCTGTCAGCACAGAGACTGATGTGGGGCTTGAACTCCTGCACTGTGAGATCATGGCCTGAGCCAAAGTCAGATGCTTAACCGACTGAGCCACCCAGGCGCCCCTTGAGTGTTTTAAACCCAGTATTGTCTTTTAGTGATTTGCTCTAGACGTTTCAAGAGCTAGGGTGATACATTATTCATTGGTATATTCCCAAGCCCCGAAAAATTCCTTACACATCAGAGACATCCACAAGTATTTCTAGAATAGAGAACCACATGCAAAGCTCAGTTCATCCCCTTTCTCTCTAAATAGGTTTCCTTTCCTGGCTTCCCCCACAGTATCATCCTGATCCCCCATATTGAAAACCAGCCAATGGCTCCTGCTCACTCCGACATCCAATCAGTTCCTGGATGTTTTCAATTCATGCCCCATAGCCCTACATGGAGATTTCTCCTACTTTCCTTTCCCGCCCTCCATCAAGCCCTTATTCAAAATGAGAGAGAGAGAATGGGGGAGGGAAGGGCAGCGAAAGGAGAGAGAGAGAGAGAGAGAGAGAGAGTGTGTGAGCAGGGAAGGGAAAGAGAGAGGGGGAGACACAGAATCCAAAGCAGGCTCCAGGCACTGAGCTGTCAGCACAGAGCCCGACGCGGGGCTTGAACTCACAAACTGCGAGATCATGACCTGAGCTGGAGTTGGACGCTCAACTGGCTGAGCCACCCAGGTGCCCCAAAGGGTTTTAATGTTTTTTGCATTGGTAAGTAAATATTATATTGGTTTCTATTTACAAGTCAGGAGAAAGGACTTAGAAACTAGCTTCTTCCTGGACCTTATTCTTGGCCAGGTGAAGAGACCCAAAGCCTTCCAGAGTAGGGAGATCAAAACTCTGAGGGCAGACTGACAGCAGTGAACTTGACATCTTTTCTGGTCATCAGCCTCCAAAATACTGCACTACTGAGGTGATAATCTCTCAAAGTTATGACAGAAAGTTGCACCTGAGAAAAACACCTTGAAATAACCTACGCCAATACTCCAATCCCCCACTTGGGAAGGAAGTTGAGGGGCGGTGACTTGTTCAAATCAGCCCAAATTAGAGACAGGGCTGGACACAGGAGTCACATCTCCATGGTGTTTTCTGTCGCTGACTCTTCTGTTCATCTTCAATGGATCGAGGCAGTCATGTTAGAGGTAGAGAAAGCCTGAGTGACACAGACTTGTGGGATCGTTCTTTTGAACAAAATTTCCACACCAAACTTGGGTGGAACTTGTGTGTGTGTGTGTGTGTGTGTGTGTGTGTGTGTGTGCACGCACATTGTCCTATATTACCTTTCCATTTAAAGCTTTCATTGCCTCAACTGCATCCTCTCGACTGCTGAAGTGCACAAAAGCATAGTCGCGGATTTTCTTTACCCTCTCCACAGCACCTGTAAACAGAGAGAAAGTAGCCCCATTAGCAACCTTGAGACAACACCGAGAATGGTACATTTTAGCATTTGGCTTCCAAGAGTATTTGATTTTTTTTTTTTTGAGACTTATTATTTAGGTTAAGTTCTCCTTGAGAATGTTTGCTATGTCCAGGTTTACAATTGTACACATTCAGTAGCAGCTTTTGTTTGTAATTTTTTTATATCACCTATATTCTTCCATATTATTATAGATTTGTGTTTTCCACTTCCTAGATTATAAGACCTTTAAGAGTAGAAGCATTATCTTATTTTGTCTCTATATAATGTAAACAATAGTAACTTATACTTGGTAAAATAGTTTTTCAATTGTTTTGAACTATTGGTCATCCTATAAATATATATTTAGGCGATTACCTTATAAAATTTTATGGCTTTTCCCCCAGACAAATATTTTATTTCTTTTGATTTATGTAGTACAACTTTAGAATTAGGAGAGACTTTAGCAATGCTTTACTTTAAGCTTTTAGAGATTCACTTGACCTTGGGTGCCTGGGTGGCTCAGTCGGTTAAGTGTCCAACTCTTAGTTTTGGCTCAGATCACGATCTTGCAGTTTGTGGGTTCGAGCCCCGCATCAGGCTTTGTGCTGACAGTGTTGAGCCTGCTTGGGATTCTCTCTCTCTGTCTCTCTCTTCCCTTCCCCCCTTGCTCTCTGTCTCTCAAAATAAATAAACTTAAAAATATTAAAAAAAAATAAAAATTCACTTGACCTTAATTTATTTTTAACTTAAAGATTAGGAATCTAAGGTTCTAACAAGGAAGGTGAACTTGTAAGGGTTCACACAGCTAGGAACTGGAACTCTGATCTCTTACCTGCTTCTCTGATAGTCTTTTGATAAAAAAAAAAAGGTAGTTTCTGAAAGAACATTTGAAAACCAAGACAGTTCTTTCCCTGCTGTTCATAATATCTACATGTTGGAAACAATGTAGATATCCAAGAATTCTCCCTTGAGGGACATCTTTTACAGAAGCACTCCTATGTCCAAAAGGATCATATATGAGGACATTAGCTCTCACTGTTGTGGTAGCAAAACTAAAACAACTTAAAGTCCATTCTCCTGAGAGTGATTAAATCTGGTACTTCATACCAAATGAAATAAGTCTTTAGGGGCGCCTGGGTGGCTCAGTTGGTTAAGCGTCCAGCTCTTGGTTTCGGCTCAGGTCATGATCCCGCAGTTTGCAGGATGGAGCCCGCATCCCACTGTCTGTGCTGACGGTGTGGAGGCTGCTTGGGATTCTCTGTGTCTCCCTTTCTCTCTGCCCCTCCCCCAACCCTCTCTCTCAAACAAATAAAAAAAAAAAAGAAATGAGTCTTTAAAGAGAAAAGATAGACCTATGTATGCTTACACGGAAAGATTTAAGAACTATTGTGAAATTCAAAAATTTGTAAAATAGTAAGTATAATTTTGTAACATTTATGTTTTCAAAATCCCAACCCATGTATATGTACAGAGAAATATGGATACACACACACACACACACACACACACACACACACACACAGAGAAAGAGAGCTGGAAACCAAACTGTTAATACAGGTTATGTAAGGAATGGGGAGAAAATTTGCAGAGAATGAAGGGGACTTTCACATGTTAATTTATATTCTTTGGCATTATACAAACATGTGCAATGTTTATTTCTATTGTTTGTGTAATAAAAAAATAACAAATTGACCTGACCTATTTTAATGTAGAGAGACTGCTGCAGGTGCTAATGGCAACATGAAAATAAAAAAGAAAGAAACGTTTTACCAACACGGTTGAACTTTATATTTTACCTTGATTATGAACATGTTGTTAGAGAATATTGTTGCCTACTCAGTTTTAAAAATAGAAGTTTCGGGGCGCCTGGGTGGCTCAGTCAGTTAAGCGTGTGACTTTGGCTCAGGCCATGATCTTGCGGTTCGTGAGTTCGAGCCCCACGTCGGGCTCTGTGCTGACAGCTCGGAGTCTGGAGCCCGCTTCAGAGTCTGTGTCTCCCTCTCTCTGCCCCTTCCCCACTTGCACTCTGTCTCTCAAAAATAAATAAACATTAAAAAATTTTTTAAATAGAAGTTTCACCTAGAGTGAAGGTAAAATGGAAACTTCTTTGACATTAACTTGTTAGTAGTTTAGTGTGACAACTGTCCTCTTTTAGTGACACTCACGTGGGTGTGTCTTGAGAGATGTGGTTTCTTCTCCTCTCGTAAGTTCCCAGACATCACATAGGATGGGACACTTTCCCAGGGGGGCCCAGAAGAGGACATGAGGGTTCTCCTTTTGTCGCCTCCCTATCAAAGCTCAGTCATCTATCCTGTCAGATTCAAGGTCACAAAGACAGTTAGACGTTTTACTCTGCCACGTGGTTCAACGGCTGTATGTTATCTTCTTTTGGAACAATGGTAGAGCTGTATTGTCAGGATGATGTAAAACCATCGTGGCCCTCTCTCTTCCCTCTGCATCCGGCACTTGACTTCTTCTGGCAAAGGGTGTAGAGAGCAGAATTGTCCGGCTCGGCGGAGAACGTACGTAAAGGCAATTGAGACCATGAAGCATGGGACACGTAATTCCCTGAATTTCCAGCACACTGTCTTCATTCCTCCAGGGTCGGGGAGGGTAATTTTCATGACGTAACCCCATGGCTTGTCCTGGTGACTGAGAAGTCAAAGGTGGGCCGATAAGGACCTCTGTCTGTCCAGTCTTTGCCCTGTGCGTTCTCCAGTCCTGTCCTTCATCTAGGCTCCACTAGACTGGTAGCCCCCCGAGAACGAGATCTCCTTTGGGGCCATCTCGGTACTGTCTTCACCTAGGTCCTACCTCCTCCCTTGTGTACAGAGGATGCTCTATAAACAGACATGGGATGAACGAATATTACTAGTCAATTCGCACGCCAACTTCCGTTGTTCCTATTAGTTAGGTGGCATTTCAGATGACAATGGATCTAAATGTCCTCAAATTCTGTTCGTAGACAAGGAAACAGACTGGCATTTTTGAGCAATACTTTTCAGCTACACCTGATCTTGGAAATGTTACTGTATGAAAAGGTAGCCCCGTGAAACAAATTTGAGCGTGTGAGCTTGGTTTTCTCTGCAATGGTATTGACCATCTGGCTTATTATCGTATGCCCCTTCTTTAGTGTAGAGGAGTTTGTTTACTGATTGATCGTCATTTGGCAGAGGGTGGAGGAAAACAAAATGCCCGTGGTCATCGTCAGCAATGGTGAAAAGACTCTGAAGTCCTAATACGGGGAATTAGAAAAATAGCACTCTGAAGAGCAGCACATCGAGTACCTGAAGAGAAACACACCTGGGATCCCAAGGAGGATTATCAGAGGGGTGTGGTTCTCCAAGTGTGGTCTTCTGACCAGCAAGTATCAGCCTAGGTCCACCCCGGACCCATGACTCAGAAACCATGGGGCGGGGGAGTGGGGATGGGGCGAGGTGGCCAGCAGTCTGTTTTCACAAGCCCCTCCTGCGGATTCTGACGCTAAACTGTTTTAGAGAAATCAGATTTTGTAGAATGACTATAATTGGAATTTCCGCGCATACCCTTAGGCTACGCTGGGGAAGAACGTACATTTTCAGCCCCAGTTCCTGTTCTGATTGTCATTGATCTCTCTGAGTGGCAGTACAATATTTCCAGGCTAATCGGGGTTAAAACAAGACGGTCGAATATTTGCCAGGAATATTCGGGCTTTTCCGAGGGACCCAAACTTTAAATAGGATTTTTAAAGTGTTATTTTCCTGTTTCTCCCCATATATTTTCCGAGAGAAGTACAAACACACCCTTTCCACTGGAAAATAAACCAGTTCAGCTCTGACTTTTTATTCCTAATACAGCAGATGTCTGCTAGTTATCCATCCCGTATAATTCATATTCTCTTGTGGAGTGCCAAGAAGCCGCCACACATCATTATAGAGCCCTGAGTTGTGCCATCAGAGGGAGAGAGGTGGAGAGGGAGAGAGCGCTAGCATTTATTATCTTCATTATAACTAGTAGGACAAAAAAGCAAACAAAAAAAGGTCGTGTTTTAATTAGATCAAAAAATACCATGTACAGCTATCATCACCGTCCATTTCTAGAACCGTCTTATGAACCCCGACTGAAACGCTGTGTCTATGAAATAATTATTTCTGAATCCTTTGTCCCCTGTCCCTGGGTAACCACCATTCTGCACTCTGTCTCTACGAATGTGACGACTTTAGGCACCTCATATAACTGGCATCAGATGGCGTACGTCCTTTTGACTGTCTTGTTTCACTGGGATAAGGTCTCCGAGGTTCATTCAAGTTGCGCGTTTCAACACTCCCGTATGGTTTAGGTCTGAGTGTTGTTCCGCTGCTGGTAATCGTACGTTCGTTAGTACCCAGCGTGTAGTTTTCCACAGAGGCGGCACCAGTTTTGTATTTCCAGCTACAGGGCACATGGTTCTAATTGCCCCACAAACTCCCCAATGTTTCTGTGTCTTCTTCTTGTTCGATTACTACTGCTACTCTTGCTATCTTGGGAGGCAGGAAATGGCTTTGGATTACATTTTCCTGGTGCATAGCGAGGGATGTTGAGCATCTTTTAATGGGCTTATGGGCTATGTGTATGTGGTAATTGGACAATAGCGTTTTGTGGACAAGTATATAGTTGAAGTTTTACTTGTCTTAATTTTTAGCTGTTGACTTATTGGCGCACTTGATATACTTGGGATGTTGATCCTTTACCGGCTATATTGTTTGCGGGTGTCTTCTCTTATTCTGTGGGTTGCTTTTGCAGTGTTGAAAGTGTCCCTTGATGCGCTTTTTCATTTGTATATAGTTCATTTAATCTATTTTTCTTTGTCGCCTCTACTTTTAATACCATCCAAGAATTTATTGCCACATCCAATGTCCATGAAGCTTTGCCCTGTATGTTCCTCTAGTGTTTTTATAATACTAGCTTTGTTTTGATCAGTCTCTGATCCCTTTTGATTTAACTTTATATCTCATATCAATCCAGTCCAACTGTGTTATTTGCATGTGGACGTGCCATTCTCTCAATACAATTTATTGAAAAGATTGGGAAAAAAAGTATTGAATAAAAATAAGAAGGTCGGAAGTCAACACAAAGCGGGAGCAGCATCTACACACGCATGTCTCATTCCTCTGCCCACAAATGCGTCAACTTTCGTACCTCAGCTCACGCTTTACTCCTCTTAAACACGAGTCTCTCTGCACCACAAGGGCGGGCTGTCATTGCTGTTATTCTTCTGGAGTATCTTGAACTCCTCCCACACACACCTCACACCTGTTCACTCCTCCCACAGTGCCTGGCACATAGGAGCTACTGAAGTAATGACAGTTGAATGAATGAGTGAATGAATGCAGTAAGGATGGGGCATGGAGGTCACAGAGTTGTGAAGAACATGGTCTTGGCCAGACCTGGACTCTAATCTGGGATTTGCCCCTTGCAAGTTGTATGACCCTGAGCATGCTACTTAACAGCTCTGGGTTCTGGTTTTCTCATTTTTACGATGGGAGTGACAGAGTAACCTATATCCTGGAGTCATGGTGCTGAATAAATGACACGTGCTGGGAAAGTGCCCGTGGCAATGCCTGGAGCATAAGTGAGCAGTCAGCAGCCAGCCACTTGCAGTCTCTATGTTAGTAATGGACTCACAGCTGGGGGCATGGGGCCACACCATTACACTAGAATGGCAGGAAGTTGGCAGAGTTCCCAAAGGCTGGCAAACAAAGAATCTGGTGAATCTTTCAACAGCGAGAAGTGGCATCCTTACTAATTATCTTCGGAACAAATCATCAGCTCATTCTATCACACCTGACATGGCACCCAGAGTTGGCAACAGGAACACACGAGGGGAACGTTCTCCAGCCGACTTAACATGATGGCACCATGGCTCATGCTTATCAACAAAGCAGAGAATTACTACCTGGAGACAGAAACATTTTAATTTATGGAAAGGTGTCCCCACGGTGATAAACTTAGCCAGAGCGTGTCCCAAAACATGCTAATTCCACAAGATGAGTAGCCAAAAAAAACGAGATCTGTACTCCAAAAATTTGGGAAATGAGGCATCCTACATCTCTTCTTTTGGATACTTTCAAAGCATATTAGAAGGTTAAGGACTCTGATAAGTCCCACAATGAAAAAAAAAATCTGTCCGATGTTGGTGAAATTGTTGTTTACAAATTTATTTGACCATGGGTCTCTTTTATCAGAAGCATCTACTAACAGTCCATAGAATTAATGTTCCACAGAGCTGGCTTTGGGAAATGATTATTTGGACATTGTTTCGTGAGATGTTTTACTGTCTCACTGTTATAGTTCCCATATGAGAAAAAAGTGATAAGGACTGAATCTCATGGTTCAGTTCCTTCCTCCTCCTCTTCACCCAAATGAGTCTCCTAGAATTAATTCTTGCCTCCCTCCTTATGTACCTAAAGTCACAATCATGTTGCATTAGACCAGTGGTCCTCCACTTGGGGCAATTTTTCCCTCCAGGGTAAATGTCTGGGGACATTTTTGATTATTACAGCTTGCGACTGGCATCTAGTGGATAGAGGTGTGGGATGCTGTTAAAATTCCTGTAATGTGCAGGACAGAGTCCCATGACCAAGAATTATATGGCCTAAACCATCAAGAGTACTGAGGCCGAGAAGCCCTGCCTCAGATCCAGAGTTATGGCCATGCATTCATCAACACAGTCAATATTTAGTGAGTGTCTACTATGACCTGGCACAGAGATAAGGGCTGAGGAGACAATAGAAGCTAAAAAACTCTCTTGGAATTTATAGTTTAGTGAAGGCAATGTGTGTTAATTAAGGCATCACACAGATAATTGTAAAATTATAATGTTGATCAATGTTATGGACCACATGCCCCTATTTTCTGATCCAAGGTTGAAATATGGTGTTTGTCGTCCTCACGCAGTTATGAGAGTGCCACACGAAGCCGGCCCTGTTTAAAGTTATGGGAAGTCATCTCAAGCCTAAGTGTTTTCAGAGCACATTTCAAAACAGTCATCTTGTATGGTATTTCCCACCTGGTTTAATATTGTTGAATTCTTTCTCAATCATCTCTTCAGAAGTAGACAGCATCAGGTTTCTCACATACAGGATTTTCACCGAAGACATTGTGTCTTCGTCAACTTCTACTTCTGGTTCTGCCCAGTCTACTGCGATAGGATGTCCCCAGAGCTGAATTCTTCCTGCTCAAAAGGATCACAGGTATGATTAGTTATATAGAAACCAGGACAATGCCATCTCGGTTCACGGAGATGGCCTTTTAACTTCAGCAGCTGCTTATGGTCTTGACTGAGCACGAAGACAAATATTAAAAGAGGTGGATACTGATTTCAAGAAACAGTCCAAATAAATGGAAGAGCTGACTAGAAGGGACTTCTGTGTGACAGATGGTTTACAGTGATAATTGCATACAAAGGGAACCGGGATGTGGTTTGGAATGGGGCAGAAGTGAGACCACGATGGGCAGGTTTGGGTCTTTGAACAGCTCTCACGGGGAAAGTAAGTCTTTGAAAGTGAGATGGCAGAAGAAGAGAAGAGAAACAATGGATTTAGGGCTTGGACATAGAGTCTGACTTCACGAAGCATTAAGGGCATTAGGGAGTATGTCTGCTGCTTCTAGAATCTGCGTGACCAGGTGCCACCACCGAGCAGTCTAAAAACCCGTGGTGTGTGGGCAGGAGTGAGCAGGGCTCAGGCAACCCTGGTTTGTTCTCTGTCCCTTATGCTTGGTCAGGGCTCCAATCATCTGTGTTCATGCCTAGTTCTCTGGCTGCACACGGGCAACTTGGGAATTGGCAGAAACATTCTTGATCCCGATTGAGAAGACAAAGAGTAATGGAAGGGTCTATGATGAGAAACCGAACTCTTTTTAAAGGGGTAGTTGTTCCCCATGACTACGTATATTTTTGTATTTCTACCGTTGCAATTTATTGAGTGTCTTGCACTATATACTGTGTTTTCCATATGCTACCTTGGTTCCCGCTCACAGTAACTCTCTGGGGGAGGGGAGTGACTGTCTCGATTTTACAGAAGAGGAAATGAGCTTTAGAGGGATGACTAACTTGCCCAGACCCACTTCACTTCTTCATGGCTCCTTTGTGTTTTGGGGTTACCCAGCCCTGGACCCCTACACAGGGCAGAGCCCAGCTGAAGTGATAGGGGGTCAACTCAACTTCTAAATTTGATTGGAAGTCTGGTGTGTTTTTTATTAGTTGTTTAGGAACAAGCTACAGCCTGGAAGCAATAAAAAGCTTGAGAGAACACAATCAGAAATTTTCAGTGTTGGTAAGGGTTCAGTTGTTCAATTATTATTCCACATGGGAGGCAATTATTTTCAATCAAAAGGCATCTTTTTTTTCTTTGGAAAGCAGTTAGTGAAACCATCTGTGGCACTGACTCCCTGAAACCCGAACAAAAAAGAGACACGTTTACATGAGCTAGCTAATCCCAGAGGGGCTGGTTCTTGTGGGACCCCAGTGGCTAGCTACCTGCCCTGCATCCCAGGGGATAGTTTTCTTCATCCCTCTCTTCCCTCTTCTTCCCTCTGCTCCCTTCTATTCCTTCCCCTTCCTTTTCCTTTCACTCCTTTTGCTTTGTTTTCCTTCCCTTTCTTTTCTGTGTTTTACATAGTCTTTGCTGACTGTCCTAGCCCAAGATCCCCCTGGTTTCTGTAGCTGAGGGCTTCTCAGCGTTGGCCTCAGACTGTAAGGGCCTTGAGAAATACCCAACCTGAGTCCCACTCATTGTTGAGCTGGACCCAGTTCCTTTCCACTTGCAACACTGGACTGTTAAGTTTTCAGAATTGTGTGAGCCAGTGGATGCCATCTTGGTGGTTTGAAATCAGCCACAGTGGGACTGTTAATACCATGGGAATCTACACATACTACAAGGCAGGACTTTGGATTTTCTCTGGGAGTTGCCTGTTAAAGATTGACCAGCTCAGGGGCGCCTGGGTGGCTCAGTTGGTTGAGCATCTGACTCTTGATTTCAGCTTGGGTTATGATTTCACAATTCGTGAGATCAAGCCCTGCATTGGCTTCCACCCTGTTAGTGCTATTAGCTTGGGGACTCTCTCTCCCCGCACCCCCCCTCTCTCTCTGCCCCTTCTCTGCTTGCACTCTTTCTCTCTCTCTCAAAATAAATAAACCTAAGTAAAAAAAAAAAGATTGACCAGCTCATCACTGACCCCAGGACTCTCCTTCCCAAATTTGATATGAGTGGTCCGGGTTTCAGGATTCTTAAAATCACCTCAGTTAATTCAGCCAAAGTTGAGAACACTGCTCTAGCCTTCCTGGCCTGGAACTACAGTCTGCCTTCAGCTGGCCTGAAAATCTGCAGAAGGCTGAAGTGGACAGAAATGAGAGGAGGTACGGTAAGCAGTGATCTCAAACATCCCCCTGAAAGTCAGTGTTGCAGAGGGATTTGGAAACATGGCCTCTGAAGCCAGACAAGTTCAAATATCAGATCGCCTTCCTGGCTAGGACACCACCTTCCTAACCATCAATCTCTTCATTTATAAAATTGGGATAATCAAAGTCACTACCCAGTGCTGTTGTGAAAATAAAAGATGATACACATAAGGGACTTTTTTGTTTGGTCTCTTTTCTTGTGTGTCTAGTTTCCTCAGAGTGTGCACTCTTTGAGTGAAATAGTTAGGTTTGATTTTTTTTTTTAAGAATTTCCTTCAGAAGAGAGCAAAGCACATTGTAGAGTCTTAGTAAATGCTCCCGTGCTGAGTGGTTTCCACGTGTACTTGTTGACTTCCCATGCAGGTGATGGCCAGAACCCTTCGTTGGAGGATTTAGCACTGGATCGCAAAACTAGCTCCACTACAAGGTCATCTGGAAAACTGAAAACACCAGTGCTCCAGAGAAGCAGATTCAGCTGAGGAGAGATTGATTTGGTTTCTGGTACTGTTTCAAAGCGTCCTCAGGTTATTCAGATCTGCGGCCCATGAGGGACAGTCATTGACTTAGATTGCAGGTTCTCAGACTCATGGTCTCAGAAGCATAGCATCTTGGGAACTTGTTACGAAGGCAAATCGGCAGACGCCATACCTGACCTTCTGACTCCGGAACCCTGGAGGTGGGGCCTGGTTAGCTGCACTTTGACAAACCCTCCAGGTGGTCCCCGTGCAGGCTGACGCTAGGGCTTTCCTCAGAGTATCCTTTGAATGTTCTGCTGGCCTCTCAGTTGGATGCAATGACTTTGTTTGACGCACGCCTCTGCAAACTTGCAATGTCCAGAGAGGGCTGCTGCTGTCACCTGGGAAGGTAGGTGGCTGGGAGGCAATACATCGTGTTCGACAGCAATTTTCTGTCTGTCTCTAAGTCTGAATCAACGAAGAAGGAAAAGCTTCTTGTGGTCCTTGCTTATCACGTTTAGTAAAGATCTCCTTCTTTCTGACTAGGCCCTCCAGAGGACAGTCAGTGACCGAAATCCTCTGTTGTTGACTGTATGGTGAGGTAATAGGTAGAGTGTCCAAAGGGGCAGTAGACTGCGCAGGTAGAGAGAAGCACTTTCATGGGTCGATATGCTCTTTTCTTTGAGGACAGGAAGTTGAGGGGATATTTTAGTTCTTTAGGAACACTGGGTCCTGAAAACTATCTTTCTCCCATTTTGGACCGTCTTTCACTGCTGTGCTCCCCAACCCCCTTGGGACAGAGTGGCATCATTCAGTCTCTCCACACATAGAGATCAAATTCCTACTATTGGCAAGAATTGTAGAAAAGATGACCTGATATTTGGAAACAGTGACCTGAGGGTAATGTTCAGAATGGAGTAGGCAGATGGTGGGGTACGTCCAGAAGAACAGAGCGGGAAGAATAATCTCGAGTGTTTGAAAACAGTCTATGTTTGGGAATAAATGTTTTGAGACTCTACGGGTAGTCTGAGGTCAGTATGGATACAAGGAACTTTTTTATGGCAGAACTGTTGAACAGAGAAGAGTTGAAGAAGACACCAGAGATGAAGTTCAGGTCACCAAAAGGCTAAGGGTGCCTCATGAGGAGGGCCCGCGATTCTCTGTGCCTGGGCGGCACAGGTCTGACCATCGGGTGGTGACGGAGTAGTGAAAGGAAGCATCGACATTAAAAATGCCCATCTCTCTAAAGGACTCAGCAAATTTGGGGGCTGTTTCCTATCTTTTCCCTTATAAGCTGCCTCCATGAAAATATGGATAAAAAGTCTTCCCCAAGATCAGAAGCCGTCTTCCAATTTTGCAAACTTCTAGAGGGTGAATGCTCTCATTGAGTTAACACTTGTTTATGTTCTGAAGTATAGTTGATACCCATGTTACCCTAGTGCCAGGGGCAAAGCATAGTGACCGGACAACTCTATGCTCACCACAAGTGTCGCTACCATGGCCCCATACAACGCCATTGACTACAATGTCGTTACAGTACCATTGACTACATTCCGACTCTGTACCTTCCATCCCTGTGACTTCATCATGGCTTGTTTGTAAGGATGTGTATGTGGACAATGTAAATCTAGGTGGTGGTTGTTTTGTCTTTAATTCTCATGGCTTTTCCATGGTGTTCAAGAGAAGAGTTGATTCCAATGTGTCCACTCTGGCGTTCTTGAAATCCTCTCATTTTAGTATCGATGCCTCTTAATACCTTACTTTGTGTAAATTTTGGTGACTATTTTAGAATGGGCAGAGGACTTTCAACAATTTACCCTAAGCTGATCTGACTGAGGGACGGCCTTGTTGGAGTCTTTTAATCTCTGGAATTGGTGGCTGTTGCCCAAACAGGACCCACCCTGTGGTTGTAGCACCTACTAGGTGCCTTTCTGTGGAGGGCTGTTATTTCTACCCTGCCCCCAGCCCCACATTAGACACGGAAGAGTCACGGTATGAGTTCATGTCACTTAATTGCCATCAGGCTAATGTGTCGCTTGCAGGCTTATTCTACACTGTAATGAACAACCTCCTCCATTTCTAGTAAGCCTGACAACAGCATCTGTATAGAAAAATAATGTATATATTCACTTTTGAGAAGATTCCTCACTTTAACACCTTGTTACAGGGCTGCTGCAGCTCCTAGCTCTGGAAGTCCCCAGGGCAAGTGCATTAGACTAAGGGCATGTTTTCCAGAACCCATTCGGTGAAAACTTCAGGGAGCTTAGTCTACGGTAACATAGATAAGAAGGGGAAGGGAGTTAGGAAAGCGCAGAAGCAAAGCTCCAGAGCAAGCCAACCACACCCAGCAGATACCTCCTCTGCAGGGCACACAGCAGCCTGAGGCAGAGCAGAGGAACCTTCTCTTTGGGGAGGGGATGCCAACCTGGCAGCAGCTTCCTTCGGGCCATGGCAGCTGTCCGATGACTCTCGTACTCCACGAAGGCAAAGCCCCGGTTTCTGGTTTTATCTGCGGCGCTCGGGTAGACAATGACGTCGACGACTCCCTCGGTGACCTTTTTCATCTCCGCTAAGATCTCTTCTCGCTTTTTGGTCTTGGGGATCCCCCCGACAAACAACCGGCAGTTGTCCACACTGGCGCACACCCCTAAGAGACGCCCATTTCTGCAAAAATAATGAATGAACGAATGAATGAATGGCATTCTGCTTGGCAAGAATCCTGTGTGATTGAGGTTTAAGAAGTTGAAGACACGAGGGGCCCCTGGGTGGCTCAGTCGGTTAAGCATCCGACTTCAGCTCAGGTCACGATCTCATAATTTGTGGGTTTAAGCCCCATGTTGGGCTCTGTGCTGACAGCTCAGAGCCTGGAGCCTGTGTCGGATTCTGTGTCTCCCATTCTCTCTCTCTCTCTCTCTGCCCTTCTCCTGCTCATGCTCTGTCTCTCAGAAATAAATAAATGTTAAAAAAAATTTTTTTAAATATAAATAGCTCTTTAAAAGCTAAGTCCACCTTGGGGTGCCTGGGTGGCTTAGTCGGTTGAGCGTCCGACTTCGGCTCAGGTCATGATCTCCCGGTCTATGAGTTGGAGCCCCGCGTTGGGCTCTGTGCTGATGACTCGGGGCCTGGAGCCTGCTTCTGATTCTGTGTCTCCCTCTCTCTCTGCCCCTCCCCCATTTGTGCTCGCTCTCTCCCTCTCTCAAAAATAAATAATCATTAAAATTTTTTCCAAAAAAAAAAAAAAAAAGAAGAAGTTGAAGACATGTGAGCATGGACCTGATAAGTCCTGCAGATGTGACATGTTTGGTCTTCATAGTGTTTTCTCACCACCCAGGATAATTCCCGATACTGGGGCTGCTGCACCTTGGCCCACGTTGCTCACTCTGCCTGCCTGGGTGGGGACGGTCATGAACTTGCAAACCTGGCTGCTCCCTGTCCTCGCCAGCCCAACGGGGAAGCTATTCTGACACGCCTTAGAAATTTTCACGTAGCATCTTACTTGGCCTACGCTAAACCTGTGATATGGGCAGAACAGATGCTGTTTCCATTTTCTAGATGAAAAACTCGAGGCTCTGAGAGATTAAGTGGCTTGCTTCAGATGGTAGAGATCTTAAGGGAGGAAATTGGCCTCTGGACTCTCCGTTCAGTTCCCGTTTCTTCTCTATGGTGTTGCTGACTAGCAAGTTAATGTTCATCTCCACCGGCAGAGTGCAGATTAAGCTTTTCTGGGGGGACATTTGGGGAAATGTGTCAGAAATCTTTTGTATATGATTTGGGGGCACATAGTGCCCCTTCTGGGAGTGTCTTTAGGGAAGAGTTGAACACCAACATTTTTGTGTAAGGATATTCACTGCTATTACTTAAAATAGTCCTTAGGGGCGCCTGGGTGGCGCAGTCGGTTAAGCGTCCGACTTCAGCCAGGTCACGATCTCGCGGTCCGTGAGTTCGAGCCCCGCGTCGGGCTCTGGGCTGATGGCTCGGAGCCTGGAGCCTGTTTCCGATTCTGTGTCTCCCTCTCTCTCTGCCCCTCCCCCGTTCATGCTCTGTCTCTCTCTGTCCCAAAAATAAATAAAAACGTTGAAAAAAAAATTAAAAAAAAATAAAATAAAAAAATAAAATAAAATAAAATAGTCCCCAGACTGAGGGTTGATGGGGGGTGGGAGGGAGAGGAGGGTGGGTGATGGGCATTGAGGAGGGCACCTTTTGGGATGAGCACTGGGTGTTGTATGGAAACCAATTTGACAATAAATTTCATCTATTGAAAAAAAAAAATAGTCCCCAGATTGGAAATAATCAAAATATGCCAGCATCCAGGACCGGTGTAAGGCCTCTTGGCTGAGACGATATCGACTCTGAGGTTGGACGTTTCCTCCTTGTGCACCGTAACAGGCTCGTCACCCTGGGTTCTTCCTCACTAAAGCCTAATGGCCTCCGTTAGGTCGTCTGAAAATGCCTCTTCATCTTTCTAAATGTCCCTTTGGGTGAATGCTACTGCTCCTGGCTGAGAATCACTGCTGAACAAGAGACGGGCATTTCTACCGTAGAATGCTCAAAAGACATTATGGGTAGTAATGTAGAAGGGTATTTATTGGTTAAAAAAACGGCTCACAATATGCTGCTGGCTTCAAAATAGTGGCAAAACACATATGTGAGGAGACCATTTTGATGGACACGGTGCTGAAAACCTAGGAAGGCAATAAAGAGCCAACATAGTGATAATCTCGGGGCAACGGGGTTATGGAGGAATGGTTTGCACGTTAATGTTTTTTTTTTTTTTCATTTTGGCTTTTGCTATTTGTGGTATATCAGGCTGTGTGACTTTTCTAATAACAGGAAGTTATTAAAAATGGGTAAAGTTCCATTAACAGAAATGACTCGTGCGTCATGAGCAGAGGCGCTCAGCTGGGTGAGTGGGGGGTTGCTCTGCTTTCTGGGAGCTGGTGGTGTCGAGTCCTGTGCAGGTGCTGTCACCAGGACGGGGGCCCTGCCCCGCTGTCCTCCATGCTTTGCTGAAGAGCTGGGGACCCAGTATCAGAGGTGTGACAGGTCCATTACAGTCTGGTGGACATTGCCCCAGGAATGTGGTTTTTCCCGGGGGTGGGGGTGGGGGGGAGGGAAGGGTGGATAAAGTAATCTTCAGGATTTTTGTTTTTGTTTCGCTTGCTTACCTTCAACCCCCCTCTATTCCAAGATACTATTTCTTTAGAAAGTCTCTTCTTTTTGAGGGAGGGCCAGTCAGGTGTCAGTGGCCAGCAGGTGGAGCCTGGAGCCTCCATGTCCTAGTTTTAAATCTGTGTGGTTTGTCCTGCACTTTCCCAGCGCTGGTTGGGGATGAAAAGCCACCTCTCACAAGCTGAGGGCACGGCTTTCATGTCTCTAGAAGCCAGGCATGAGACAAATCTCCGTGAATATTTGCTGAGGAGGAGGATGATACGACAATTGTGGGTCTTTTCCGCATAAAGAACCTTATCGATCCCCTGAGAAAGGGTGGCTAAGAGCCAGTTGAAGTTTATCCTTCTCTGCGAGAAAAGTTCTCTCTCTGGCAGGACTGATCCAAGGCAGAGCGGGAGCAGGTGAGGACGGCTCTAGGGTATCTATTCTTCAGCTTCATATTCTATTTATCCCACACCGTGATTTTGAAAGTACCTCTGTGCCTTCCCCTTGCTTCTGGCATCCAACCTGAACTTTGACTTTCACCAGCTTTCTCTTTCCCGATGCTTTACAATATTCCTCTTCCTCCTCCCCCTCCTCCTCCCCCTCCTCCTCCCTCTCTTCTCCCTCCTCCTCCTGTCTGCTGTAATCATCAGCAAACACTCATAGAGCATGTGATCTGTGCCAGGCACTGAGCTTCGCTGCATGGTCTATTTATGTTTCACGATGCCCCCACGGGGTAAGTATCGTTTTACCTCTTTTATAGTTGAAGACCCTGAAAGTCACAGAGAATTCTGTTACGGGTCAGGGACTGTAATGGATCGATTGTGTTCATTATTCATAGCCTCTCTCTCTTCCCAAAGCACAGACAGGCCCCAGGGTGTAACAACGTGTTGAGACCCGTGCTGATTCCCTACGTAGCTGAGTCGACATCCGCCTCAACTTCAAAGCTATTTTGGGGGTAACTCTTGCTCTTAAGATGTCTAGGCTCCATGAAAGACCAAGGAGTGGGGACTCTTCCGATCCCCGGATCCCTGTGGCTGGAATATTTAAAAGTTACATTAAAGTAGAGCTTGCTGTGGCCCTGTCCAAAACAGTTCAGGGGTGCATTATTTTCCACAACAGATGCCAAGAACACGTGAGTAATTATGTGCCGATGGTAAAACTTGCTGCACGAGGTTCCAGGATTTCTCCGAAGGCACCTGTGCTCTGATCGCCTGGTTCCCATGCCAGACAACCCTCCACATTCCAGACAGAACTCTTTGGGATCTGTGGAGGCATGTGCAGAACTTCCTGGATACCTTCCTCCAAACCCCGGTTCCAGGCTCTGACCTTGAGATGGGGTGGCTGGGCTGTTACAGTTGCCAATCCAGTCAATCTCTCGACGGCTGGAGAGTTTTAAGAAAAATGACCCGGTAATTGATTTTACAGAATTATGAGGATAATACGCGACTTATTTGGGGCGTAGAGGAAGGAAGTGAGGGAAAAGATAATTGTAGGAAATCTACTCTCTATTCACGTCTAGGATGACAATAATTTTCAGAGGCAGAGAGGAAATCAATGAAAACTGCATCTTGGAATTGATGAATGTGCTAATATGTAAGAGTTCTGTCATTTATTGACCTATCACCAAGTTCCACACACTGGAGTAAACATTGAAAAATCTTTAGAGCATCCCCACAATAACACCTGTGAAATGAGGACTCATATCACCACTTTAGGGAGGAGGACATTGAGGCTCGGAGAGGTTATGTCACTTGCTGGCACTCAGCCGAAGCCTGTCTGACCCCAAAGCTGTTACTTTTCAACGGTTCCACTAATCTTTCTTCCAGGTGGCCCAGGACTTCCTTTATGAGAGGATTCAGGACAGTTCCCTCTCTATGTGAAGGTGTTAGAACTCCGTTTCGTGATGCTAGTCATATTTCCAGCCGATAAAAGCCAATTATTGATTGCACAGGGCCGATTGTGCCCTGGAACCTTCCACTGGTCCCATGATTTGCAACATCACCTATGTTTGGCTGGCTCTGTGACCTCTGTCCTGACTCTGATATCATGCAGACGATCACTTCTTCAACCGCTCCCCTGGGACGTCTCGCGTGAATCTCGAATGTAAATCCACCCCAACTCAGCTCTTCATGTGTCCAGCAGGCTATTCTCTCATTCTTTCCCATCTCAGTGACTCTATCTCATCCACAGATACTGGGACCCACATCCTAGCTTTCTTCCCTGAATTCGAACATCGCTTGTACTCTCAATCCAATATGGAGCCCGTCTTGTCTGTGCAACCTCCAGAAGGCATCCCAGATTCGGCTTCTCTGAGCACCTGCACTGCCGGCCCCTGTACACCTGCCATCATCTGTCGTCCAGACCTAAATGAGTCTCCCTCTGCAGCTTCCCCCTTTCCATCTTTGCCTACCTGTTACTTCACCCAACAGCCAGAGTTCTGGTTTAAAAAGCACGGACCTAGTGAAATGTTTTCCCCTTTTTATTAGAATAAAAGCTAAATTTTGAATCGCGGTGTATAAGGCTCTCCAACTGCATCGGCTTCAACTCTCCCGTCTGTTTCCACCTCCTCGGTGCTGTTCTCTAACACACTGAGCTTGTTCCCACTTGGGAAACGTTGCCCTTGGTGTTCTTATTCTCTGGAATCGTCTTCCTCCAGGTCTGGCTGTGACGGCTGATTCTTTCCATTCAAGTTGCGCGGACAGTTTTACCTTTGCCGGAGGGCAGGTTCTTAAGGACACCAAGTTAGAGTAGCCATTTCCTCGCAGGTGGTTTTATTTTTTCACTCTTGATTTATCTTTTGAGTGTAGTTGACACACAATGTGACATGGCATTCAAGTGCTATGAAAGCCCAGAGTGCCGTGCTCACCACAAGCATAGCTACCGTCTGTCACCGTAAGACGCCGTTACAGTACCATCGTACCCTATGCTGTGACCTTCATCCCTGTGACTTATTCACTCCGTGACTGGAAGCCTGTGTCTCCCCCCGCCTATCACCCATTTTGTTCAGCTCTCCCAACCCCGGCAACCATCACTTTGCTCTCTGTGTTTCTGGGTCTGGTTCTGCTTTTTGTTTGTTGCGTTTGCTTTCTTCGAGTCCACTTATGACTGTCCTACTCTTAAACAATCTGTATCCATTTGCTTACAGGGAAAGGCATCCTGATATTTCCAACGTGTTGAACAGTGCCCAGCACATATTTATGCAGACCCGTTGTCTGCTTCATTTTCCATCAGGAGAGGCGGGTCTTACCTAATTTCATAGTTGTTAAGTTGTTTGATGGCGTCCTTGGCTTCTTGTCTATTTGAGAAAGTTACAAATGCATACCCTCGATTGTTGCCATTAAAATCCATCATCATCCGCATTTCATAAATTTTACCCATCTGCAGGGAAAAGAGAGAGAGAGAGAGAGAGTCCAGTTTGTCTATTTGTCCTTCCAAGTGAAAACACACCCACACAACGTTTTCTGAAGTCTTACCTCTGCTATGTTTGACATTTGCATCCCGTGTGGAACGCTTTGCATAGTTTCATGCTGGGTTCGGATCTGCTATCTGACTCACGGGCAAAGTCAGGTTACATAAAGAAAACGTGTACACGTGGCATTTCAGCCTGACTTAACAGAGTATGTTTTCAACGGAGTAAATGGCCTTTCATCATTCAGTTATCTGTGGATCTATCCCCCATCCCAGGGACCTGAAAACGCGTTTGTCCTCAGAAGGACAATGTCTTGACAGATTTGTCCTTGCCCTCTACATTGCCTCTGAAGTTTCCATAGTTTCCTCTTTCCTTGGTCATACTCCACCACTGATGTTTAAAACAAAAACCCAGACGCTCATTTGAAACCTTGCTGAGCTGATTTCTTTTGTCTTTCTGCCACCATGATCTCAAGATGTACAGGGAAAATGTGATTTAGAGGACGATCTGGGGATTCCTGTTGTTTTTTTCATCTGTAGGCTGAAGGTTGGTGCTAGTCTTACGTGACTGGCCCAACGTCAGGACCTCCACAGTAGGAGGACACTCACCGTATCCCTCTGGCCTCAGATCTTTTGCTTTGCCTATAAACTACTCCTTCTTGCTACCACAAATCTTCTCCGACAAGCCAGGCTCAGTAATTTATTATTGCTGGCCGCTGTACGATGAGTGACCCTAACAGGCCAGGCATATACAGGGAGAAGAGGTGTCATTAAATGTGTGCGACTACCCTGGTGGTTGGTTACCCCTTGGAACTGCCTCCTCCCCATTTTCAGGTTCAGTATCTAAGATTCTTACCGGATTAAATCCCCATAGTTTGTGCACATGCCAAATGAGATTGTTTGTACAAAATTAGGAATGGTTCCGAAACTGAGGCTGACTTATACATCCAAGCGATTTTGGCATTTAGAGAAAGAAATTTTTTCTAAATTTTCTATGGGGCACCTGGGTGGCTCAGTCGGTTAAGTGTCCGACTTTGGCTCGGGTCATGATCTCACAGCATGAGTTTGAGCCCCACGCCGGGCTCTGTGCTGACGGCTCAGAGCCTGGAGCCTGCTTTGGATTCTGTGTCTCCCCCTCTCTCTGCCCCTCCTCAACTTGCACTTTGTCTTCTCCCTCTCAAAAATAAACAAACATTAAAAAATTTTTAACTTTTCTAGGAATGGGGCTGTTGAAACACCACTTGGTAAAATAATCAAAATAAAATTTAATTTTGTGTCCTCCCTGTAAGTTTGGGTTTAGTAACAGCGTATCGCTTGGAATTAAAACTGAGGAAATGTATTCCTTAACTATATAATGACTTTGAGAAACTACATTATTAATCTTGTTGATGCCTTAGGGCAGACAAATTCAAACCTGTAGAAGGAAATTTCATTCTGAATCACTATGTATGGATACACCTTTGAGCCACGACAAGTGCACGCATTCTTTAAACGCAAAGGGTATACGTTTTAAAACCGGATTAAAATGTCAAGTTGGAGAAGTATCTTATTCTGGAAGGTTGTTGTAGTATTATTATAGACTGATAGCTATCTTGCTGCGAACTCCATATGTCTGTGCCATTTCAGATCAAAGATCAGAATTTGAAAGTTATCAGCAGCAGTTCAAGCTGTCAGTCAAGGAAGAGCTACATCAAGTCAGTGGCAATAAGGGGACAACCACTCACAGGAAGGTTTTAACTTTGTCCATGTTGAGGAACAGCAGTTGGAAGAGACACCATCACTGACCAAGAACAAGTGTGAAACAAAGTGTGGAGTATTTTCCCCTTGAAAGGTAAAAAAAAAAAAAAAATTAAATTTGGACTCACTTTTTCACATAGTGGTATAAGTTCATCCTCAAAAAGGTCTCGTGGAAGTTTCCCAATAAAAATCTCACAGCCCCTTTCTGGGGGTGCAGCATCCCAGCCAGGTGGAGGTCCACCATATTTTCTTTGCCCGTTTTCCTGCAAATCCAGGGTGGATTGTATGAGGGAGAGAAGAAAACATTAAGACCTTTAGTTTGAGTGCCTCAGTTATTTTCAAAGTCATGATAAGGAACAGATTTATCATTGACAAGTAATAGCTGGTCAGAGGATAAAATCAAGGTCCTTTACGTGGCTTTTAATACCATGCTCTGTGCTTCAGCAACTTGCTTGCAATAAGTGTCATGAAAATGTGTCAAGCGCTGGACAGATATTATTATTGTTGTTCACACTCACCAATGCCTGACCATCGAAGGATTGGACAATAATTTCAGTCTGAGGCTCTGCTGTAACCTGGAGTCTGTGGGGTGGCGGTAAGGGTTCTGGAGCTGGGCTGACTGGCTCTATGACTCACTAGCTATAGGGCTTTGGGCAAATGGCTTAACTTCTTGGAACCTCAGTTTTCTCAAATACAAAGTGGGGATAATATTGGCTTTTTGATTAAGGGAGATAATACATCAAATATGCGTGGCACCGTTCTCGGCATCTCATAGCCAATGGTGATGAATTCTCTTCTCGTCTCCCTGAATTCGGGCCCTCTCATTGGCCAAGGGAGGGAGGCCATGGGAGCCCCTACATAGAAACATTGTGGATTAACGTTTGAAGGTGTGGATTGGCTAATTTTGGGGGTAGCTAGTGAGAAACCTAAATCTGTTTTCAAAGCTGACAGGATGGTGAGAGGGGTTTACTAATGTTGGATCTCTTTGTGGGGAACAGAGCTGTTCTCAGTCCAAATAGAATTTCCTACTCCTCCTCCTCCCTCCTCTTCCTCCTCCTCTTTCTCCTCCTCCCCCTCCTCCCCCTCCTCTTCCTCCTTCTTTTGGCTTTGTCTTAACTAACCCTTGGTGAAACCAACCAACCCTTGGCCTTCTTTGGGAAGGAGTAGTTCTGGTTCTTTTCTTTACTAGACATTAGGTATTAAAGATAGCATTACTGTCTTTATTTTTCCAGAAGTTAAAGACTGGAAAGCAACTTCAGGGGCCCCATGTGAAGTGTGGGCCTGGTCCACCACTGCTGACCTGGGATAGTGTATTTGCTGGGGAGGGTCTTCTTATTCCCACTTAGGCAAAGCCAGAGGTCTTTGTCTTTACACCCTTATTATGATTTTTGGAGAAAGGTGAATATAGGGGACGGAATGACAGTATTCATTGCTAACTTCTACAAGTGATACCTTAAGAAGTTTTAAACTATAAGAAGTTTTAAACTATAAAATGACATACGTTGTTGGAGAAAACAGTAACGTACAAGAGGAAAAACATGGTAAATATATGAGGTAAAAAGAAACATTTCCCAGTGCGTCACCCTACCCATCTATAGAAGCAGTTAGTGTTAAGTTTTTTGCGTTTCCAAATATTTTTCCACGTAGATTCTTAAAAGTCAGGGGGCGCCTGGGTGGCGCAGTCGGTTAAGCGTCCAACTTCAGCCAGGTCACGATCTCGCGGTCCGTGAGTTCGAGCCCCGCGTCAGGCTCTGGGTGGATGGCTCAGAGCCTGGAGCCTGTTTCCGATTCTGTGTCTCCCTCTCTCTCTGCCCCTCCCCCGTTCATGCTCTGTCTCTCTCTGTCCCAAAAATAAATAAACGTTGAAAAAAAAAATTAAAAAAAAATTAAAAAAAAGTCAGATGTTAGTTGTTTAAAGACCTTGTTTTACAGGATTGTTTAAAATCAAAAGTAAAGCGGCCGCTAGTTTCACCGTTAAATCTTTCTGTATCCCAACTTGAGACTTCCTCAATTATTTTATAAGTATAAGCACAAAGGCTTTTGGATCACAACGTAAATTATGTCTCTGGTTGTGATCACTTTTTTATTCCTAATTTATATCATGTTGCTTTCAATTAAAAAAAAGGGCGTCGGATGGGTGTTCTACCTTTGCCTTGATTATTTTATGCTTCCGACAACTGGGTGTTTCTTTTACTAAGTATTTAAACATTTGCCTCAAGAGTTCTTATCCTTTTTTCCTTCCTCTATATTTTTGCAGAATCATCTAGCAGCAAAACATTTACATCACTGAGAAATGAAATGTTTTGTACTTAAAGGGGGAAAAAACTCCTTAAGAATTCAGTGAGCTGTATCTTAACGAAGAATTTATTGAAAAATACGAAGTTGATATTTTCAGAGATATATTAAAAACTTCTATTTATTTCTTGTCTAACAGAAACCTATACGGCGCTTGCTATATACCAGACACTGTCGTAACCCTTAAAGAACGTCACAGGCTCAGGACCGTGGTTCTCCTCGTTTTACCCAAAACACTGAAGCCTAGGCAGATTAAGTAATTTGCTGAGGTCACATGGTTGGGAAGAGGCAAAGCTGGGATTTGAACCCAGGCAGTCTGGTTTCAGAGACCATCAGCCTTATCCCCACATTTTGCCTTGTTATATGGAAGCTTAATCATTTATAACAGATCCATACCTTTAAACACTCATTTAAGAAAAAAAAAATCAGCATGCTGTTAAATTGCAAGCTATCTGCCGCATTTAAAATCCTTTCCAATTTCCAATCATTTTATTACACAAATTTTGGAAGGACATATCTAATATCTGTTGCCTATAGGGAGGCATATTTCTTTCACCAAAGTAAAATCCACCTTCTTGGTTTGACCCTCACCATTTGGTTGTTGATGATCCCTTGGGGGCGATTTCTGTGTATGTTAAATGCCTAGAGGTCTAGTCGATGGATTATTGGAATACACAGCATAAATTTGGTAGTATTTTTATTCTTCAGGTTGAAGAAACCCAACTTTTATCCCATAATACTAAAGTAGCAATTCCAGAATTTCTGATCTGGCAGGCTTTGTCTGACAGTTGGAAAATAAATAGGCAACCAACAGATTGACCTTTAAAAATTTCCCTTCAACTTTCTTTCTTGCTATAATTGCTAAAAATATCACTGAACTATTTTGTGGACATCACATGCATGGGAGGCTTCATCTGCTTATGAGCCAAGATGACTGCACAGGAGAGCTTATTGTCTTTCTATGGTTTCTATGAACACTTGAAAAAAATTCCCCAAGGATATTATGGGGGATCACAGAGACTGACTGGTTCAGAGACACCTCAAAGTTCATGCCTGGGGGAGATCTGTTCTACCCACCACCCACTGGACTTGGAATACACCAGGCTGGAAGTCTAGACCAATTTAAGACCACACTGGGCGTTAGTCATGGTATTAGAATAGCTGTCCATTACTCAGAAAGGACAGTTGGGAGCTGTATTGTCGGTATTTCTGGCACTGTTTTTATAGTTAAGGAGTTTAAAATAGATAAAGCCCACTTATAATGGCTCTTTCCCCGACTGGCTGATGTCCTTCTCAGGGGACACATTCCCTCAGCACAAAAGTATTAATAGTTCCGAGAGAGAGAATATAGGTTTTTGTTTTTCTTGAGAGGATGTTCATTAAACTCTGGGAACCTGTACGTTTCTAATGGAAGATCTGGAAACCACTTACTGTCTGTTATAACGCATACACACATAGAAACCTTCACCTAGGTAAATGACAAATTGAAGACCTAATTCTAACTATAAATCCAGGGGGTTGCATTCACATATTGGATGCTGAGCCTACCTAGTCATTCAGTTTATATATCAAGAGTATTTGAAAGTTCCTCTGTCACAGATTTTAAATCTTTCATTATGGAACCGTAGAGTCTTTAAGAAATCATGTACACCATGTTGAGTGAAACCACTCACACTTTCATAAATGATTGTGGGCAATGAATCTTAGCATGAGGTCAAATGGGCTGAGTTCATTTTGACCACCTGGCATCTGCTCTTTTCATACATCTGGGGGATCTGAGCAAAATTGCATTTTCCTACAAGAGTTAAGAAAGGCCAGATACTTGTCATTCCAAATTCTTTTGCAGCTGGGACAGTCATGGTTACAATAAAGTGAACTTTCTTGTAGGTGTAAGAATCATACTGGTGCAAACTTATAATGTCGAGCACCCATGATATATTTTCTTATTATTCCAGATTTGTGTTGTGGTTTCCTAAAACCATACTTCCTAAAAACCTTAAAACCCCCCCTGAAAGCTTACTCTTAAATCTAGTTCTCCAAATTTATAAACAAACACTCTTTTAGTAAACTTCTTTCCTGCATAATCGGCAGGAGTTGACTTCTGTTATTTACACACAATAGTAGCAGGAAAAAAAAATCCCACAACACTTAACCGTAATTGAGTTACTGTGCTAAGTATGGGCTTTCCATGTATTAACTAGCTTAATCTCAACAAACCCAACAGGATGATAGCATTCATCTTAGAGATGAAAAATCCAAGGCACAGACTGTGTCCCAAGTCACTCAAGCTGTAAGTTACAAAGACAAAATTTGAATCCTAAGCCCTATGCCTGTGATGATATTTTTCTTTGGTTTTTATATTAACCCAATATGCTCATTTTACAGATGAGGAAATTGAGACCAGAGATATTACAGGGCTCACCTAAAGTCACAGTGGTTTAATTTCTTGCAGAAAACACTAGTCTGAGGGTCCAATAATTCTCAATCTGGTGAATTTCATGGGACATACACTGTTAACAGTCACGAAAGCATTTTTCTCATAATTCTTCATGTTGCACTATGCCTACTTTTTTCATTCAGCTTCACCAGACCTAGAGACCAGATGGTTTGTTGTCTCCTCTTAGTGAGCCCATTTATAAACTGGAAGGAGATTAATTAATAAACCCTCTTACCGTCTTCTTCTTTTTTTTTAATTTCCCGAACAGTAATTTTAATTCCTTGAATGATTCTTTGGAAATGATCTGTAATCCTCATTGTGGTTGCCTTTAGTCCTTTGTTTTTTCTTGCCAAGGGGAAGAAATTGTGTACGGTCCCTTACTAAACTATTTTCAGATGTTCTCTTGCCCATTTTCCAATTGCTGATGTTTATATTTTTTTCTGTTCCTGTTAGCTCAGGTGCTGGACGGTCCACTCAGGCTTGGTGGCATTTGTAGCCTTTGCAAGCATGCCAGTCACCGGGGCCATGGCC